CACACACACACACACACACACACACACACACACACACACACACACACACACGCGCACACACTCACACTCATTCTTCCCTCCCGCTCGAATTTGTCTCTTGCTTCCTTCTACATTGCCTCCCTTCACCCCGTTCGATTCCATATTTCAACATGCGCCCTCCATCCCCCCTCCCGGTGCTCCCCCTACCAATCCACTTTTCCCATCCTCTTCTCTCCCCGTCCTGTATCTGTAGCCTGTTTTTCTCCACGCCTTCCTTTCCTCCGTTGGGATCCTCTTCGAGCTCCTGCTCCTTCAATACTCGAATGTCGCTACTGCGGATCTCGTATGTCCTTTCCTCTCTTCCTCTGTCGATCGCTCTTTTTTTTTCTGCCTTCATTGCTCTCTCTCTCTCTCGCCTGCGTATCCACATTTACCCAGGCCCTTCCTTCATCATTATCCTGCTCTCTCCTTTCCTTACATCCCGTTCCTCCTCCCTCCGCTGAGCCCCTCTTCTTGCCTTGCAATCTCTTCTTCCCACCTCGTTCAGATCCCCCCTACACGACCTGCATTCCTCACCCTGTTGCCTCGGCGTTCTTTCTCCTGCACTTCCTCGCTCCCTATACCCTCACATGATTGACTACCATTCCGACCTTGACCACCTCTCGATCCCACGTCCTGATCGACGGCCTCCAAATCCGTGCTGCCCATCCCCTTCTTCGCAAATTGGGTTCCCGACCTACATCCTCCTGCCATTTACTTTAGGACCCTCCTCCCGCATTTGACGTCCCCCTACCGGTAGTGCTCCTTCTCCCCATGCTGCCTCTCCGCATTCACGGCATGATCTCGCATACTCTTTCCGATAGCAGCCGTGCACAAATCCTGTCCAACTTGCAACATTACCCCCGGAAAAAATTGGATTTGCCCTAAACGAATGGACGGATGGAGGGAGGGAGGATGGAAGGAGGGACGTAGAGGGAAGAAGGGGGGGCGGGGCGGGGAGAGAGAGAGAGAGAGAGAGAGAGAGAGAGAGAGAGAGAGAGAGAGAGAGAGAGAGAGAGAGAGAGTGCATGTCGCCACGCCAGACAAACCCACGTATTTCACTTTTGGGCGGGAGTCTGGGCGGGAGTCTGAACGGAACTGTCCACTTCACCTCTGATAGAGGGACGAGGGAGGGAGGGAGGGAGGGAGGGAGGGAGAAAGGGAGGGGAGAGATGGAGGGAGAAATGGAGGGGAGAGATGGAGGGAGAGAGGGTAGGTTCGTCAGGACGCGCGAACTTACCTATTTCCGTTTTGGGTAGAGTGTGAAAGCAACTGTCCACATCTTCAGACACAACGCCGTGAGCAGGGAGAGAGAGAGAGTCGCCGCCGGGGCCTCGCCCCACATGCCATCGGCTAGTACATTTTATTGCTGTGTGACAGTGGAGGCGGGAAACGAACGCCCTTCTGCATCAGTTCTGCCGCCTGAACAATAAATGGGCCTCGCTCCGCCAGTCCCGAAATGTGCAAAACGAGA